CCCTCATGACTGTGAAGTCTGAAAGCTGGTACGTAGATTGGTGGTAGGCCTCGAGTAACTCAATTGCTTCTATCCAGATTGCAGCTGCCTCAGCTAAAAGAACGGGTGTACAGTGCTGATATTTATTCAGGCATATAAGTAGCGAGAATAATCATTTAAACTCATCATTTTGTCATTCTAGCGCATACGTGTCAGCATCTGATTGTCTGTAATAAGCCTGAGACGTAGAGCTAGACAATTCCGGTCATGCGTTTGGTGGCAAATTGCTCCGCGCGACCGGACCGTGCTGACAGTGGGCAAACATGGGAGTAAAGCGGCAACCAGTTATACTTTTCATGTGATGGAGCTCATTACATTCATTCACAATAGGTCGATGATCATTTTGTCACTGACCAGCACAAGCGAGCCTTAATTAGCATAATGTTGGTTATGTGCTTATGCTCACGTCTCATGTGGCGAGACAGCATCGGACAAATGGGGTGATATATTGCAATGACCATAAGAATCCCATATAAATAGTGCAATGGCGAACCGATGAAGTTTGGTGGAAGTACCACATTTGTTTGGTATCAGAGAGTGTGGATGCAACATTTGACGAAGAGTATGTCAAAACGACTTTGTTCGACGAGTGAAGAGAAAACGCGGATGTCTCGTTTTGTTCTGATAAACGGCTCTAGGGAGAGGCGATATTTTTGCTGTGCTTGTGGCCTTGGAGAGTAGGACCTGCTAACTCGTCTATATATACACCTAGGCTTTGAACCGTGGTTTGCCTATAGTTTAAAGGCTCCTCAATTATAAAATCTGTTCACTACTTTGTCATCTATCACGTTGACAGAGCAGCATGAGGAAAAGCGAAGTGGAAGTTGGTTTATGCTGGAGATACGGTAGTCGGGGTGGAATGCAAAAGACACGAAGAGCACTGCCTGTTCGGTCGAGAAGGCAGGGGAGATTTTACGCCGAACGGAGAGCTTGGGGATGAAGGTGGGAGGGGAGAGGCTACACACGGGATGGTGGAAGAGAGGTGTGCGAGGAGGGAAGGGGCCTTTCCCTCGACTGCGTCGTTTTCTTGACACTCCTGTCGCGCACCAACAGCCATGATGACAGTACCGTCACGGAGGTGGAAGAAGGATAAGCCTGTCGCCACACAGGCTGTGGGATGGGTGTTGGTGGCGCAGATGGCTCCCGAAGCACCACCGTCAGTGCCTAGTCAAAAACAGAATAGCGTAATTAAGGGACTCCTTGAACAATCGATTCCCCTATAGGGTCATTTCCTATGAATACACAGACACAGAGAACGGAGTGTTAGAACAGCAGCTTAGTGTAAAGACATGCGAAGTTGCCAATAAAACCAACAATAACAATAATAATAAATACTAGTTTGCTTGCATTGCAATATCGCACACCACTTCAACTATGTAGGGAAGAGGATGTGAGAACAAATATCCTAATACCACCTCTGCTGCTCGTCGGCTTTTCGATCAATCACACTCTAGTGCACCAGACATAACCAAAGATGCAAGCACATTTGGGCAGAGCACATCATAATAAAAAACAGCTGCTGCAAAAAGGCAGTAGTAAGAGCTGTACCGCTTGCTAAGGCTAATTAGGGGAAACTGAACAAAGCACTGAGGCAAGTAATGTTGGTGTTGTGTCAAATGGTGATGCGTGAGAGAGGTGATGGACATTCTCGCCTCGAGGTATCAATATTTGCCAAAGGATTCACAGGTCATCACATGCCAACCACTGAAGTGGAATTTATGATCTTGGCTAGCGCCTTCCACTCCTTCGTAATGCTAATTACCATTTGCGCACTCGACACAAGTGACATCACCACGACACGGTGAGCTGGGTCGACCATCACTCCAACTCACGTGGCGAGGTGATAATCAAGCACACCACTAGCTGAATCTGCATGGAAGTCGCAACAGCAGAAGAAAGCGCTTGTAATGACTGGAGTGGCCATAACGTGTCAATGCACATTGTGAAGCTTGTGCAAGTAATCATCCACTAATTCCTGCATAAGTGGATGTTCTTCTAAGTCAGCTCTACCTTTCCGTTAGCTACTTTGCATTGTTCGGGTAGCAGTTTCCAAATCAACGAGTAAATAAGACCAGTGGTGCAGCCTCAAGTGCGCAAAATCGCCGAGTTAAACAACCAACCAACGTATTGCATGACACCTTCGGGAGTGCATTCCTACTCAACTTATATCTGTTTACTAGTAAGGGGAGTCGTGACGACCATAAGGAAAGACATTGGTGACTGAGAAGCGAACATTGTCCTTTGTGCTTGAATGCGGTTGATTTGCCCCTTCCCTGTGAAAATTTCAGGGGTCTTTCACGATTAACAATATTCATGAAATGCCTAAATAGAAAGTGTTATTTTGCAAAATTGAAAGCTTTCGTCTGCAAGTGATCCATGTACATTTTCATTTATCCGGATCCTCGCAACTACTTAGCATGGCCTCCCTTGATTTGTTGTGATGTGCGTGTGAGAAAGTTATTAACGTGGCGCAAGAACATTATTTTGTGAAACAATCGCGTGCCCAGACTGGTTGAAGCTAGTTAAAATGAGTGGGGACATTAGAGACAGCTGATCTGCAAAAATAACCAAATTGCTCCGCATAAAGCGCCTCCCCTAATGCTGTAACCAGCCCAATTCATCTTGATATGCGATGATTGTCAGTTTAGTCTGTAGTGGTTTTTACACTGCGAGTCCTCTTAGGAACGCTTAAGGGGCTCTTACCCCTACTGACTCAACAATCCACCACCTAAGTGGGTCTGCAAAAGCTGCCTTCCTGGAATGGAGGTTCATCTTAACTTATTTCAATGCCTCAAACCAAGGCAGTGGAGATGAGTTTTCCTGTCACTTTGGCCGAATTTTTGTATAATACCAATCCAATCAAAGAGGTCTGAGATACTCGAAAGGGGAGATCCATGAGGTGGTTACTTGCTTATCAGACTAAGAATACTGCACACGTGATTCCATGATTTGAATGTTCTCTAAATACCTTTAATGGATATTTCAACATCTTCCTAGACACTTACACAGTTTTTGCTGATGTTCAACTCTGTTTCCCCTGTAATCCATAAATGCACAAAAATTCATTATCCAAGCATCCAACCTTTCCTTTTGACTTGCTTTCCGAAAAGCAAACGCCACTGCCTTTCATAACAATGACCAACATCAAGCTGCAATAAAATCGCTTAAGCGAGACCATCAAAAAGACGAGGTAGCCTTGCAGAAATCTAATTTGCTCTGTGAGGGTGCGTCGTTAGCTAGTAAAGTGAGGCGTCGTGGAATGCTATCCAGTAAGCAGACCGAAACACTGAACGGATAGTCAGGATGGCAGTTGACTGTTGCTAAAATACCAAAAAGCAGAAGGCATCTCATTCTGCCTATTCCTGAGTTATGTAGCTTTCCAAATCGTGGGAAGAGTAGCTTGATTGGAAAACACCTGATTGATTTGGAAGAATTCTTTAAATAGTTTACAGTAGTTTTTACCTCATTTTCAATTCTAAATTTTTGCTGACTATGATACCTTCATAAACTGCAAGTGAAAACCATTGAGACAAAGTGACTGCGAATAAAGAGAAAGTAATTCGTATTTCTGAATGATAAGGCATTTAGAAAGTTGAACTTTTGACATCGATCAGTTTTCATGATTCATTGAGCTTGCTCACATTTCAAATCAAAGCGTGGAATTGTTGCATGCATATTCAAAAAAACTGAAAAATTCACTTCCTAAAGGTGGGTGCTTGGGTGGATGATAGGGGCCTCATCGGGGTGGCAAGGGTGACATAATGCAGCAGAGGTAAATTGGAAAAGTGGTTAAAGGCTCAGTAGTGTCAAATAATGGTGCAAGTCTGCTTATGTTTTGAGACACGTTTAACTTAAGTCAGTTCCGCTTTCCCAAAAGTGGGAAGTACGGCCAGAGATAACCATCCATGTTTGTTAATGTGAGCGCATTCGACTCCAGTTTGGTGTGGGCAGGGAGGGAGGGGACGGCAGGGATAGTGCTAGCCTGCGCAAGGTGCAGTTGACAAAGCACTTTTCAAATTGCAGTACGAGTTGGTAGGGGGAATTAGTAAATTTCACAATTATTGAAAAGCTTGATGAAGGCGAAATCTCAGACTTTAACACAATAAACACATCATCCCTCGGTAACGAGTGAATTCGAGTTCGAATTGCGCATGAGGATGTGAATAATCCTCGAAAAGTCCACAACATGCCGATGAGGTAGATGTCAATAAATATAAGTGCATTAGGTGACTGTAAATGTTTTCTGTGAAACCAGTTTAGCTACTGTTATTGGAACAATTGATTTGCTAATCATGGAGACTTCTTTTAGTAGTTTTGAGAAGTTCAAAATGAGCCTTCAAATGGCCGCAGTAAGGCATTATATGCGCCTAAAATAGTTGGATTAATGATGATCAAGCAAATTGGTGGAGGACATTCTATCAGAATGTAATAACTTATCTATAAAATCGGCTCTGTTACTGGTTCCACGAGCTCCTCCACAAGTGCCGGATTGTCATGGCGTGACGACAAAGCATTAGAAGTGATTTACAATAAGGTCCCTCAGCATCGCCTTTCTCAGTGTCATTCTCCCAGTACGAACTAAGGGATATGAAAGTGAAGCGTGATCATGGGAATGATAGTGTTGGAGAAAATACATCAATTTTCTCGTGGCTTCGGAGCTGTTTTATGGATCGGTAAGTTCCCTAGCAAGTCACAATTTGTGGATATTAAGTTAAGTGTGGTCATCCAAATGACCGCATGTAGAACCGAGCAACTGTGGACTTGGCTTCGATGCTTCGGTATCGATCATAAATACAGACGCGTGCACCGGTGGACACATCAGTTGACAAGACACTTCATCCGCTTTTTCTTCTCACTAAAATTAATCAACTAATATCAGATTGTCAGCTGTGCTAGTTCTCCATACGAACGATTCTGACAAAACAATCAGCGTCCCTCGAGCTGAGCACTTTCCTTCAATTGTGTCCATCCATGTGTACTTAAGCAAACCTATCTGCAATCTAAAAATGAACGATGCATTCAGCCGGGTCTTGGCTTCAAAAAGTGCTGCTACACTGTTTACAGTCACATGTCAGGAGGCAAAACGACATCACTGGTCATCAGTACTAATTTAAATCACAGATTCAGAGTTTCGAATTTCTGAACTAACGTCGTATTAGAGCAGAAAGCAAGTTATGGTGCTTAACTAGGTTACTTACCCAAAGTACTTAAGCTCGGTAGCCAGCTTTGATGTCCACTTTCTCGATGATCGGATCAACACAGTGTCCTGACAAAGCTCCATGTCAAAACATGCGAGTGCTTTGATTGCCAAACAACGCACTTTCATAAAAAACTACCACTATCTGGGATTCTCTTCGTTTAATTGAATTCTTCTACATTAGTCAGCAAAACGGGGAGCATAGCTTATGATGCGGTTCTTGGCAAATACCTAACGTAACATTTTCTGCACGTATTTTCTGTTCAAGGCTTAACCTTGCCTGGAGCCTACAGCACTGCTAACACCAGTTGCAGCAGAGAACAAAGTATTTGGTTGGTAAGATCCAAGAGCGAAACCAGCAGCGGCTCCTTGCACTATCATGTGACTCACATGGCGATGATGTAAATCGTCCTCTACCGATTTTTGAATTACGTCCTGCAATTCAAATCTGCTCTAGGTATGTTACAGGCGTCGGACATACGTGGATGATGATCCACCAAAGTGAGATTGAGATACACCGATGAAAACAGCGTCTATACATGCGTTGTAGCCCATTCTAATTGCCTAGAAATCAAAACTCTGAGACACCGATCAGTAGAGTTGATGTAAGTCAGCGTCAACACTGCAGCGATAGGCTCTCAGCCTCCAAGCAATGTTGTGGACTAAATCTACATATTTACAATTCACTACAACTGCTACTTATTTCTAAATGGAATGTTTGCATAACTGTGGATGAGACGGTTTGTCTGTGAAATCACCACTTTTACACAGCACCAGACATCTTCCTCAAATTACACCACCAAATTAATGCAAAACTCAATATTAACTTCATTTGCCTTCAGAAAGTGTCGGCGTTATGTGAAAATGAACTAATTGATGTAAGTTTACAGACGAGGCAGTGCCTCGACCCACATTTATTGCAAATTCGAGAAGCAAATGACACCAATAACATCCTGTCGCTTTCATTCGATGAAGCGGGTAAGGTGGAAGTGTCTCTCGAGCAAAACCATGGCAGGTTGAGAGGTAGAACCGGTGATCGTCACGATAACATCAAAAGTGCAATATGCTCAAACCTAGATGATCAGTTGCTCAAGAGGTTTTATGCTGGCTCTATTAATGCTATTTATTTTACCAAGCACACCCATGAAACTAGTCTGTGCTGAGTAGTAATGTTATGCAGGAATTGAATTTCTCCATAGCTAGTGGTTGCAGCTATCATACCTCAAACCACCGACATTTTTATCCTCGGAATAAGCGTGTAATTCAATGCTGCTGGTAAAGTGTGGTACAATATAATTGGGCGGGTTGCGTTAAAGGGTGAATCCAATTTAAGGTGGATTAAAAAGTCTATCTCGACAAATAAAACTAGCGAAATCTTATCACTTTAAAATGAAGCGATGGACGGAGGTTTG